ATTTTTTAAATAATTTTTGGAATCAATCATACCTTTGAAATTACAAATTCCTTTAAAATAAATCGTGACGTCAGAGAGAAAAAATAAAAACGCCACTTTAAATAAAAATGTAGGTTTCAAACCCATTTATTTGTTATTTATTTTATGGTAGGAGAGATATAAGCAATTTGTTCGCTTTAAGTTGATGAAAAGTACTGAATATATAAATCCCAGGACTAATCCCGGAATCCCGGGATTGTGATAACGACATCCCGAAATCGTAGAAAGCGAAAAAATTAACAACCCTAGTGCGTACATATGTATGTATGTGTACAGTGGAGGCAGCAAGCGCGAAGACACGCTACGGCTGTCAGTGCAAAAGTAGTAATTTATCTTAATTTACTCATCTTCTTCCACTTACATAAGTGCCACTGTCGGCTAGCCACGGAAGAAGGGAAGCGCAGCACATGAACTGACCAACAGCTGGGCAATTCCCTCGGCTATATAGCCGCCGTAGTATAGCAGCAGCTTGATATCTATTCGTTGAATTTTGCATGTTTGCAATTTCTGCACTGAACAGAAATAAGTAATTACATACGCCGGCTGCTGTGGCTGCCACTATCCAACAAGCGGGCGAGCTGATGGCTGTCAGCCAAAAAACACCAGTTGGATATGTAGCATGAAAGAAGAGGGTGAAATATTGAAAAGAAAAGTCTTAAATCAACGGGCACGCAGTGCTTACCTACCCTGAACTTCCTTCTCGTTTCAATGCACCACAATTTCGTATCTCTAAAATTAGTTTGCTCAGCTCGCTTATCTACCGCTTCGAGGCGTTCAAGATGTTGCATGTCAAATTTTGTGTTTTATGGACTTGTGATGTATTATCGAGGGAATTTTCTTCAACTTTTGGCTGGTGTGAAACAAAAAAATAAAAACAAGGTTAACTGCCAACGCATATTTTAAACTAAAGCTCCTCGCACTCTTTTCTTTTATTAAGCTTGCTGTTTGCCCAACCCAATTTACGTGTTTGCAGCCACATTCTATTTTAGCGATTTCTTGGTGTTAGCTGTTTACTGATAGCATTATTCCCGCATACACGAACAAGCATATGTACTTAACATTTGCAAACTTCGCACTGAATTAGTAAAGCCATCTTTAAGCTGCTCATTTAGTAAGCGTGTGCAGCAAATATGTATTAGTAAATTTGCATGTATGTATACATAAATGTGGCATAGAAATATGTATGTACTTGCATACACTGGTTAGTACATATCGCCACCCGCATGCCAGAAGCACAAATGTGCAAATTTATCAGTTTTGAGTTATTCGGTTGGCTTGATCAACCTTTGGATGTTCTATGTTATACAAAAACCGAGAATACCTTGCGTACATGGAAAGGACATATTTTACAATTTCAATTGCATAAATGTAGAGTTAAGTCTCGTAAATAAAAACTTTCAAACTTGGTTTCACAAAATTTTAATTTTTACACATTCATGTTTCTTTCATACGGGCGAGGATATCTAAGCGAGTGTATTTAATAATAATCCCAAAGCAGTGAGGACAAACGTTTGTTTTACTTTCACCAATCAACTAGGCCAAAGAAGCTCGTCAAAATTAATAAAATAATTCCAACGGTTTTTACCCTCCTTTCCCACCCATCCGCACGAGGG